GTGTATGAGGCTGCTAAGAGAGCTGGTGTTCTAATTACCCATCAATTTTTTGTTGATGATCTCTTTATGGTGGTGAAGGCTAACATGGCTACTGTCTTCTCCCTTAAAAGGATCATGAGCCAATTTGAAGTTGTTTCTGGGTTGTCTATCAATAAGGAGAAGCCTTAGATATTCATAACTAGATCAGTGAGAAGAAAGCCTTCCATTTTAAGGTGTCTTAGGTGTAAGGAAGTCAAATTGCCTTTCAAATATTTGGGATTTCCTAATTTTGATAGAATGTTGAGGAGAGAAGATTGTTCAAACTTAATTGATAAGGTGGTTGCCACTACTTCCAAGTGGAATACTCTGAATATTGCCATGGATGGTAGGGTGGAGTTGTGTAAAGCAATAATTACTCCTCTGGTCCATTATTACACCTCTGTTTACTCTCTTCCTAGTGCTGTGATTTCATTTATAGAGAAGAGGATGAGAAATTTCATTTGGGGGCATGATGAGAATTTTGTCAAGATGTATGGGTTAAATTGGAGAATTTTTTCAAGATGCATGGGTTACAGGAGCTAGCCATGGTGTTCAATCAGATCGTCTCTAGGAAATCTTTCAGGAGTAAGATGTTTAAAATGTTTTTCACAACAACATTGTATTTTATTTGGCTTGAGAGGAATGATAGATTTCACAACAACAAAGCCAAGAATTCTATTTATTTGGCTAAGAGTATTGTGTGGGAAGTGTTAGATATCTTGAGGGTATGCCTCCATGATTTTATATAGTTGAGTTGTGTTTTAGGTTGTGGTTTGAGATTTGATCCTTGATAGGAACTTGAGTTATATGTGAGGGTATGCCTTCACTATATCTTGTACTATGTTGTTTATATCCATTAAATTTTCCTCCATTTAGGCGAAATTTTTTTTTATGGGAAGCTTGAGTTAGAGTGTGAATGTATAAATTCTAATATCTCATTTTTTCGTTCAATAAGTCATGTTTTCCCCGATTGTGTTGGCATTGATTCTGGATCAGTTTGCATGATTGACATTTCTTCAGCTCTTTGTTTGTTTTGAATCTCTCTTTGTTTGTTTTCAAAATCCATTTGTCTTGTCTTTTCTTTATCTGTTTTGTATACCTCTCGTGTTATTTGGGCGGCTACAAGAGTTTGAGATTGAGATTTATATTGATAAATGGTTGCTACCTTATCGAATTTGCTAATGAATTGATTCTGTAATTGAGTAGAATATTTATCCGTTCTGTTTTGCCGCTTTCCATCCTTATGGTCGCTGCATGTAATGGTTGACATTCTTCAACACTGAGCGAATCATTTTCGCCAATGTGTGCCGATCCTTCACCTAAAATTGGTGTCATTACTGCATTACTCAATGGAGTAGATGGGTTTGAGTAACCGACATGCTCACCATCATCAATGTGGATTCCACTCTTCTTCTTCAAATGCTTTTTTTTCCCCCCCTTCCTGACCGATACAATGTGAATGCCATTTATTGTTGTTCTTCAAAATATTCCAAAAACTGTCAAATCTAAATTGGGTGCGAGTTTGTAGAGCGAACAGGTCTGATATCATCTATAAAATATATATATATATATATATATATATATATATATATATATATATATCAATAATTATTAGAAGGAATTTTTTAATAATATTTACAAGTTAAAATTAATACAATAAAGAATTTACCTTGTCCTCATTGTCTTGCCCACTGGTCGAATTCCTTTTGATTTGGGCCACACATCCTAAAAATTTGGTAATTCTTTGTTGGATGAAGGACCAACGATTCAAGCAGATGTTATTATTTCTTTTAGGTGTAAGAGCACAATGAATATGTTGCTCAAAACTTTCATGAATTCGGATCCATAACCCTGTCTTTTGTTGGTCTGAACCGATTACCACATCAATGCCAATAGCCATCCACGCATAACATAAAACCTCATCTTCGAATGTGGACCAATTGGTAGGCCACTTTTTGAAAGGTTATGAGTTACTGGATTGTGGCACTTCAGTACCAATGTAGAAATATTGGGATGGTTGATTAGATGAAAATTGGGATTCTCCTCCCAAAAATTGGTCAAAGGGATCAAAATCATCATTTGTTTGGTTGAATTGGGAAGTTGTAATATGGTGGTGGAGAATCAATGGAATTCAACTTGAGTATTAAAACTATAGATAGAGAAAAAGACTTAATAAATTTTCGGTGAATATAGTTGTTAAGGCATTGTTTGTGTCACCAAAGAGTGCCCTAATGACTATAATAGCATAATAAGTGCAGAAAAAGAAAACAAAAATAAAAATTTTGAATATATATATATTTTTTTAACTGTTTTTTTGCCCAAGAATGCCTTTAAGCCAAATAATGCCTTAACGGCTCTTTTGATTCACTTATGTTAAGGGGAAAAAAAAAATCCAAAAAAGTGATTTCTCGTATTTATTTTAGCCAAGCACGCCCTTAAATCCGTTTCTAGGCTGCTGCTACAGTGGATTGGGCCATTTAAAAAAAAAAAAAAAAAAAAAAAGAGGCAGGCCCGAGGATCGCAAATGGTCGCCCTTTTGCGATTTAATGTTTAAGCCCAAAAATCAGCGAGCCCAATGGAGTCCAAAATAAGCCCAAAATCGTTAAAATTGCTCCCAGTGGAACTGCCCTAAAGGGGCATCACTTCGAAGATCTAAGTAAAGATAACCCAACTGCGTAAATGTTTTCCTTGTCATAAAATCTTGATGTACATAGTTACAAACACATTATTCTAGAGAAAATTTTATATATTTATTTTAACGAATTTATTGTAAGTGGAAATTCAAGAAAAGAACACATGCTAATTCATATACTAAAATTGATAAAAGAGGTTTGAAAATCCAATACAATCAGAAAAAAAATGTTTGATTTTTCTCCAATGACTGGATACTTTTGTCTGTAACTACTGCATATTTGATTCCATCCATAAATCTATTTTCTTCCCCATGAGTTCTAGTCTCAATAAGAATGCTAGTTCTTTCTATTCATATGTTATGATATGAATATACCATACCAATTCGTTTTGTTTTGTATGGATGATGAGATTCCATTGATATAGAGTCAATTCCAATAGACTTATTGGAGGGTCCCATTGGCCTGCATCCAGTAGGAATTGAACCTACGAATTCGCCAATTAGGAGTTGAGTGCTTTAACCATTCAACCATAGATGCTTAGCGGGGATCCTCGTACATGGTGAATAACTAAATTCTAATTGAAATAAAATCTTTAGGATAAATCAATGCAATTTAGAAGCAATCAATGAAAGGACATCAATTCAAATCCTGGATTTTCGAATTAAGAGAGATCAAGAATTCTCACCATTTCTTAGATTCATGGACCCAATTCAATTCAAAAATCCCCTCACTTACCCGTCTAAGTGTATTCTTGTTGATCTCAAAGTGAATTAACACTTGTTGTTACACTTCTAACCTTGAGACACAAAAGTAAAACAAAAATTACAACTCATTTTGACACCGAAATAAGCAAATTACAATTTTACACCAGAGAGTATCAAGCATTGAAAGGACCGAACAAATCTAAGAAGTGGATAGACTTCAGGCATGCTTTAAACTAAGGTAGTCTATTTTCTAAAAATAAAGAATAAAAAAAAAAAATTCATATATAGTATAAATCTAAACAAATTCATACCAGCAATAACTTTCCACTGTTGAGCCTTCTTTAAATATGCAAATCTTATTTATTAATTTGAAATCAATGTCCATTATTCTTAAAATAAGTTGATCTGTTAGACATGATGAAACTGTATAATAGATAAGCTTGAATAGTGATGGTATTCTAGGATTGATAAGTTAAATATAATGAATAATAAGCTGTAAAGAAAATATTACAAAAATAATAATAATAATAATAATAACAAAACAATAAACAATGTATCTTGAATTAACAATTTAGATTGCCAATCTATATTACACATTCGTGAACATGTAATAATAACAACTAGAATAAATAATAATACATTCTAAAGTAAGGCGATTACAACAAATTGTCGGTCCCCTTTTCCTTCCTCGTGGTACTTGAAATCCTTACTATTTCATGCTAAACTTGCTTCTAGGCACAATCGGTTTACAATAAAACCTAAATTATTTAACGGGGCTTTTAACATATAGGACCATGGTAGGTTTTGACACAATTATAAAGTTATTTCATTCTGACTTAAAAGAAGTCACAAGTTCATAGGGCCAGGTAAGTTTTGACACAACTATAAAGTTGTTTCATTGTGACTTAAAAGTTACGAGTTCAAAACAGAAAACTAAACCCGACGAATGCCTTGTGCACTCGACTAACCTACCTTTATCACACACGGCCTTAGTCAACAACCCAATTCACCATATACCCTGTCATCATGATGTATTCTGGAATCACAGGAAGTGTTTTTCGATGCCATGGTGGAAGGCCAATCTAGCAAGCATGAGAACACAAATTCAAACATGAGAGAGTTTAGTTATGTCTCCAAGACTTCCAAGTCTTTCCGTTGCAACATCCTAGTAAATGATATTTGTAATTAAATAAATAAAATATAAAATTACTTTCACATAATTTAAATTCAGATCACCTGCTGCAAATAAATAAATAAAATATAAAAATTTATAAGAGGACAAAAGATCAAGCCGGCTTAGACTGTCAGTAAATCCCTTAGATGTCAATAAGTAAATTTCAAAAAGAGAATTTGTTCTCTTAACTGCACAAAACGAAATAACATAATTGGTAAAAATAAAGTTTGCAAGTAAAAAACTAGCACTTTCCTTACTTATCACTTTCAAAATGGGCTGGTTGTGCTCGCCATGGTTCTGCTTCTGTTTTTTTTTTTGATAAGTAGGTTCTGCTTCTGTTTTTGCTCCCCCAGGAAAACCACCACCACCACAACAACCAAAGGGAGGAAAAAAAAACACACACACACACTTCTTGCTTACTGTTCTTTGGGTTTCAAAGTAAGTACCAATAATGCTAGTTAAAAAGAATGATTGACGCAACCAACTGCAGATTAGATTAAGTGGTATCCTACACATACAAGGTCAATAAATTAGACCTATGCTAAATCTCAATTATACTTTCAAAAAAATTGAACTATAATGGTACAAAATTCCAATACTTACAACCAACAAAAACCCAGTATCCAGCCACGATTGCTATTACACAGCAAAGAGAAGTACCTTAAGCAAGCAAGCACAAAAAACTCCAATTTGAGTTCAAAGCTTCAAAACCTCCTTGGCTTCTTCTTCACATTGCTAGACTCTGCCTCTATTCCACTTTCCAGCTCGCTCTCTATCCAGGTTTCATTATCTGTCTCTTCAACCATGGCATTTGAGACCTTCTCCTTAGCAACTCTATCCCATCTCCTCCTCTTTATTGTCTCTCTAATCTTACGTACATCTATCTTACTGTAGCCATTTTGAAGAGAAACAATCTTGCAACTTGAGTTCTGATCAGATATCCCCGTTCTTGGCTCACCATCACCATCCTCAATGACACTATTGGCACTACTACAGTCGCTTGTCTGAGTATTTAACTTTTCTTTTTCAGTGATATGGGTATCATTGCAGGCTTGATTCAAGCAGCTCTTGGACATTGCAGATTCAACAATTACTCCAATACTCACAGTAGCTCTATGGCCAGAATCATGAGCGGCAACCGAGCCATTTATAACACATGATTGTGAGCTATTAGAGGTTGCTTTTCCAACCACAGCTTTAGATTCAGTCACTCTCCCACGTGCCAATGGAGCTTGTTTCCGATTTCGCTCCAACCACCCAAGCATCTGTTGGATGACCTCTGAAAAGAAATCCCATGAAGAGAACTGAGAAAGAAGCTTAAGAACGCAGAAGTTGGGGAGGGGTGTTTCTTTTAAGTGAAAAAGAAAATTTCACAAGAATCTGGTCAAATGCGTAAAACTACTAAATATTCCTTGGTGAGTGGATTTTTCAGTTCTTCACTGCATTCAATAGTAAAATGTAAAGTATTAGCAGGCTGAACAGAGAGAAGGTTAAAACAAAGGACATAATTTAGTTTCGACAAGTTCGTAAAAGCAAATTTTTTATAAGTAACACTATTTACATCACCTACACCAACAATTACAACAGATAACAAGAGGAACCTAATCTAGTAAAAAACTCTTGCTGAGTCCATTTTTCATTTCTTCACTGTATTAAGAGTCACCCGTAATCTGATACGCGGGTGTATCCTAACTGAAGATAGAGATACGGTTGAACCAACAACATATTTCAGTACCAATAATTAATAAAAAGGAAAATTTGTCATAAAAAAGTAATGCAGTTTATCTCAGGGGGCAATACATACAATTCAAGGACCAAAAGCATATTTCTTGAGCCAAAATTTTAATTAATGTAATCATCATAAAACTAGTGCATTTAATGTCTACTGCAACATGATTCTCCAACAATTTGTAAAGCATTTATTGAAGGAATAGGTTCATACAAGCACATTACCTTTCAAAATATATATAAATATTCATATATCTAAATCAGCCCTTAATATGAACTCATATCTTGAGCTTTCTCATGAAAGAATTTAATAACTGAAGACTTCAATTCACACTGATGAACTTATTATCATTCATGATGCAAAAGCATGGGAAATGAAGATAAAAGAGATCTATAGATATATGAAACAAACCTTCTAATAGCTTAGGTGAAACATCAAACTGCAGCCACCAAACCTTTCCCTTCTCCGTGGGAAGCTTCACTTTCTGAAATTTGGCAGCAAGGAACAGGGAACCAGCAGCGATATAATGGGGTTTGTACTGCAAACAGAGCGTTGTACGGAGCCTACAGGTACCATTAGCAGAAAGTTTTAAATCATTAAAATGACAACATCTGACAAAAAATACAGATTTAGGCCACTCACATATAAAGAACTTCGCCAATAATCAACAAAAAAGAGAAATGAGCACACACCAGTCATTCACAAAATTCCATGCTACTTTTGCAAGCTCCTTGTGTGAAATCTCCAATCTTTTCAGAGCTGTGACTAGTGGCTTGTAAGGGAGTTCAACATTGAAGTCAAAAGCAACTGTTGCCAATAAAACCCTCTCTCCAATTAAGATTAACTCCTTATGCCTATCATAAACTTCCTACAAAAAGAATATATATAAGCAAGCCCACAACTTAGCAAACATAGCAGCCATAGCGCAGTGACAATGTTTTCCATACCAATTGTTTGATTCTTCGCGGGGCAGAAGGATCGCATCTGTACATTAGTTTATAAGCCACCACAATAACATCACTCAACCACCTTGGTGTTTCTTCCAATTTGCAAGCAAGGAACATACAAGAAGTAGCAACAGTCTGCAAAAAGCACATCACCACATTGAGTAGTACATTACATGCATTGAAGAAAATACATAGGAATATTATTTTCAAGCTTCCACATGGGCTTTTGATATAGCAAGTGGAAGCTGCAATATACCAATCAATCATTGAATATTTACCTAGTAAATTATCAAATCTAAATAAAAGAACTAAACTCTGCAATACATAAGAGTTTCTCATTTTGATATCAGAAGTCGATATTAAACAACACAGCATATCTAATATATCAGTTCCACTTCCATCACATTTCACAGCTCACGCCCAAGACCAAGAATGTTTTTGACACGTACATTCTGTAAAAATTCCCTCCAACCAAGAAAATATTCAAATGGGAGGCCATGTCTTTTGAAAAATGAACAATTGCACAGAAGTAAAAATAAAATAAAAATATGATGTGAACCTGCCATTCATTCTTTGCATGAGATTGACGCAAATAAAACCGATGGCACAACATCATCGCTGTTGCTATCGTCACCTGGGGCCTGAGAAAGAAAACATTGATCACTATCTTGAGCATGTACAGTAAGCATGAACTTCTCCAAAGAACTGGAGAGTGGGGAAGGAGTGACATATAAGAAAGAGGGCAAATTTGCAGGAAGAAGATAAAACACTCAAGGATGTTGCAGGAATTAAAGACAAAAGCCATAGACTAATGGATAAACAAGTAAACAATAATGCATGACCTTTTTATTTTTATTTCCATTTTGCTGGAAGGGAGGAAGAAATAGGCAGGTAAGTGAAGCAGGCTAATATTTGACCTCAGGTATAACTGTCTAAAGAACAACACCAAACCAAAAATTACCGGCTAAATAGTACGTGTGTACAAGCTGAAGCAAAAGTAGATACCAGAGATCATTTCTCACTGTTAGGAAAATAGATTTCCTAATAATTTATGAACCCCTCAGCCAAATTGTTAGGGTTAATTCTTCTCCGGGCAAAAAAGGTTGCATGGGTTATACAAAAAAGCAACACATTTATCGAACTATTAATGCTAAAGACTTACACTTTAAGCTCCATACCAAGATCTTGCAAAAATGAACAGTACAACTTCCGCAATCGTGACTCTGTCTGATGGTCAATGCCATCCTTCCTTGATGGAGAATGATCTTCTATCTCCTTTCTACCGAAGTACCACTTGCGTGTCAAGCTCTGAAACTCTTCATCTGGTATGCACATTGTGGTTGCCTTTCTTTCAATTCCATGCTGAGAAGGATCCCCTGGCAGTTTCCCTGCCATGGTTTCCCCCTTTTCTCGATGGCAGATAAGAGAGAAAAAAACTACAACTGCTCAAATGTCCCTGCTTATTTAACAGCTCACTTCGTAGCAAAATCACCAATAGATATTCTGTAAAACAAAAATAACAGCGTCAATGACATAAAGTAAACATTATCTCTGCTCAAAGAAATTAAACATTGTACATTAAAAACTGACTTATAGACAGTGTCAATGACAGATTGACACTAAAAGAAAACTAATTGACACTAAAAGAAAACTAATTTACAATACTATGATTCCTCCACAATGGAAACATATGGGCTAAATGCAAAGATACACTTCGAAAAAAAAAAAATGCATCATGAATTCTATCGGTTATTAAAATTGCTCTGTGGCAATCTAAAAATAGCCATGATCAACTATGTGAACATTTTGCTAAAAGACACCACAGATGTCCAAATAGTCAGTGATAATTTAAAGATTTGATCATCCCAATGGATAGTCGCACAGCCTGACTATGCCCTGGTTTTTATATGGTTTTAGAAGTAACTCTTTATGGCTTGATAGGCCCAAAAAAATAAAATGAGTTGAGAACTAACAGTTGGACACTAAAGGAACAGAACTTTTAGCATGGACACATAAGGACACCGAGGGTAATACCCTTAAGTTTCAAGTACGATATATAGGAAAATGCATTTGAGGGGAAGGAAGAGGAAGGCGGAGCACAACTAAAGCACAGAAAAAGACGAAACCCAAATGTATTAGCATAAATATTAAGCCCAATGCAAAAGTAAAATCAAGGGGGGAAATCACATATTTTTAGCCACATAAGTTCAATGTAGAAAATGAATTGCATCAAGACTATCACAGCAGAAGTTCTGGATCCTGTATAAACATTAAATCCATAATCAGTATTCTTGTAAAGAAGCACTGGGGAAGTTTCCAACTTTTCTGAAAAAAATATAAAATTTACAAGCTCTTAGGTCGAAAGAACACTTTAGACATTCCAGAAAGGTACATGGTACATTCAGCGTTGCAAAATGGAAAGTGAAACTCAAAAGATAATAAAATCAACAAGCAAATGTTTTCTTGCAGCTTAATTTATAGGAAAAACAAAGAGAAAAGAACTTTGCTTTTCTTCTCTCGTTTCTGCAAACCAAGCTAAATTTTCAAAAAGTACATGAAGCACAAAAGACAAAACCAACTCAACTTAACTCAAATTGCCCTTGTCATAAGTATTGGGGTTGCCTAAATGAATCCAATTCTGCAGTTTGCTTTGTTTAGAGTCATATGTTCAATTAAACCATTCACTACCATGCCTTTTAAGAAATTCACAAAACCGCAGATATAAAAGAAAATTTTAAGCTTTTTACCATCACAAATTAATGGTAACATGAGATAATGTTGGTTATCAAGCTGATACCACGTGCCAGAAAGCGTGTTCAATCGAGATCCAACCATAAGCAATAGGAAAGTTAACAAACAAATAAGGAAAACAATAATTAATGTTAGTTTGAATAAGTCCTATATAGGAACATAAGCAAAAGAAGAAATCAATGAATATAGAGAAATCACAGAGTACGCACAAAAAACAACAAAACTGGAACAAAAGCTTGAAACCTGAGGTAAACCCTAATTTTCAAATTCTTGGTATTCTTCCCATCTTTGCCTCACCACTAGAAATTTTCTACTCTCAGACACATCTCTCATTAGGCTACATCTCACCAAAATCTCAGTTAATAACCTAGGTATTTATTCATATAACCTAAGACCAAAATTCCTTGTTGACAAGGAACACAATACCTTAAATCAATTATAACACTCAACAAAAACTTTTCAGACAAAATAAATCCAGCACTAATCAACATAAATGCTGTTTTATCCAAGGGGGGTGTGCCTCTCATACAAGAGGTTTGGGTATTATGAGCAAAAAATACGTATAGTACCAAAGCAACCAAAAATAATTATAACATACATTTATGAGAATTTAAATACTAACGTGATTGTTATGTAACCCCATTACAACCCTTTACTGATCTGGGCAATGTTTTATATAATGGTAGTGGCTGTAGTGATAATAATACCCTTAATATCTATCATATTAGATGATACCTCATTGGCTATAAAATTGGGCAGAAGTGTTATTTTCTTTAATTAAATTAGTGGGTTTTTTTTTTTTTTTTTTTCTTTCTAATAAGTAAAATATATTCAAAAGGCGCTCAAGCAGGGACTGCCCATATACATATTAGTGGGGTTATTACAGTTTGCCATGTGCGTTCTCCCCCTACAGCAGTGGATTATCAAGTGTTTTTTTTTTTTTTTTTTTCTTTCTAAATTCACATTAACTATCTTAACAAAAAGATGAAAGAGAGAAACCCACAAAATTACAGAGTTCAGAAGAAAATCATCGACATAATTAAAGATAATCGCATGAATTTTTTCGGTAGAATATAACATTAAATCTTCAACTGTCAAATCGTAAGAAAAAAAAAACGAATTCCACGGTTTCCGAGCAACCAAAAGGATCTAATGAGAACGAGCATATGTGGAACAAATTAATTAGATCGATTGAAGAAACATACCTGATCGAATACTCGAAGAAGATGATGAAATCAGATGAATTTTCCGTAGCTCCAAAGGCGATGTTTGTAAACCCTAGATTTTTTAATGACCGTCACCTTTCCCATTTTAAATTCAGTTAACGTTGACTCCAAGTATTACCACCGACCCTATCACACCTGACGCGCTAACGCGTCCAGATACGCGTTTCTTGTAGATTTTATTTAGATTTTAGGTTAGGTGATTTTTTTATTTGTGTTAATGTCACTTACACCCTTTAAATTTGCCCAAATATCACATTTAAATACCTTTCGAAAATAACTTGCACTTAGGACCGATTTTACTTTTATGTCATTGACACTGTTAAATACATGCGAAAAGAAAAATGTACCCCTAATTTTTTAATAACTTGCATTTCAAAATATTAGCAATTTAAACGAACAAAATTGTCTTCTTTACTTACTCTCACCTACCTACTCCTCTCTCTCTCACTTTTTCAACCAACACCCTAATTCCACCATTTTTAAATTCTTCAATTTTTCTTTCTCTCTAGTGACCTTTCTTCACCACCATCATTCCTTCCCACCCTGTGAGGACTTGTCCCTTTTTCCTTTCTTTCCATTTTTTTTTTTTCAACATTTTCGAGTCTTGGGTCAAGTGGGACGGGGCGGGGTTATATATATATATATTTGGGTCACAATGGACATCATATTTTATTTTGGGGCGATTGCGTTATTATTTTTTAGGATATTTTCATTTTAGGGCTTTCTCGATTTTTGAAAATCAACAGGGCCCATGGGAGACTTTTGTACCTATTATACATACATAAATATATGTGTTGGAGGAGGAAAGAAAGAGAGAGGCAGCCATAAGGGTCGGATCCTCTCCCCCTTCTTCTTCATTTTTCTTTTCTTCTTCTCTTCTTCTTTTTTATTTTTTATTTTTTTATTTTTTTGTTCTTAGCTCCATGGTCCGGTTTCATCTCCTTCTGGTCGAATTTGCCAACGCCGTAGAAGAGAGAAATAAAGTGGACACCAAGGGGAGCAAAACCCTTGTTTCTATTTTCATTTTGGGGAACTTTAAGTTTCTGGGTAAAGCTTGAATTTGGATTTTGAGGCGGCCATAGGAGGGTTTTTTTCGTTCTCCTCGTCTTCCTTGTTGGCTCTTCAAAGTTGTGGCTCAATTGGAGCATTTTGCGATTTTGGAGTTCTTGAGATTTTCATCTCAAATGAGGTAGGGGTGTGTTGCATATGTAAGACTACGATTCCTTTGCATTTTGTGACTTAGAATGAGGTATACAAGCATGTGTATGTGTGGGCGTGTATATTTAGAACTTTATACTTAGGTTAGTAATGCTTGTCAATGGTAATTCAATGATATTGTAATTGATTTCATGCCTAATATGTTTATTAGACTTGTCATTGCGATATTACTTGATAGCTAAGGTGCCTACTTGATGTTGTAAATTTCCTATTTGCGTATATAAGTGATATACTTACTTTTGTGGTTATGTGGATGATATTGTGAGTTTGCTTTTGGAAGTATAATTATATGGATATTTATGTTGCATTAGATTCGATAAAATATCCTTTTGATTGTATAAGGTTAATTATAATCAATTATTACCTATGTTGTTGTAATTGCATTAATGAGCATGCCACGATAGCGTTGCACTTTAAGACATTGTTCATATGAAAAGCATGAGTTTATATGCGCTTGTGAAGTGTAATTTGGATATATATTAGTATATGCTTACTTTGTGGATTTGGATGATGATATTAGGGATATTCTCAGGCTTTATTGTACAGTTTGATTCGTGACTACGAGGGCTTGGCACTCATAGGGTGAGCTCGGGCTCCCCAACTTTATAGTGGCCACTTGGTTAGTTAAATGTGGGCTAGTATCCCAAAACAACTACAGTTGGTTACCGACAATCTTATTCCAGAAGAACCATTTTACCGGCTCATGTAATGTGGGTAAAATGCAAAAAAAAAAAAAAAAAAAAAAAAAAAAAAAAAAGCCCTTTGCAACTAAGCCCGGAACTACAAGAAACTCCCCTGAACTTTCAATTTGTTGCAATTTGCCCACTCAGGCCACCAGAAAAAGAAAAAAAACGAAGCTGCCCTTCTAATAAAATGATGCAAATTGCTTATAATCCCAATTTCACTTATTGACGTAGCAAACAACATTTAACCAACCAATACCATTGCGATAACACAACAAAGAGATAAGGATTCTTATCTTTTACATCACCCACATAACAACAAAACCCCTAACCCAGCTTCCTTTATTCACTGCAAAGACACAGAGAGCAGAAAAGGAAGCCATTGTCGCCCTTATCTACAAATCGCCCTTCTCTGCAAACCTAATCAACATATAACCCTAAAAAAATGTTTGCATTAAAGTCTGGTACTTGCATTCAGTAACTCTCTTACTCTAATCAACTGATTTTTCTTATATGTGTGTATATCAATTTTGTTATATAATGACCATGCTCATGTATGTTTGTTTCTTGCTTTGTTCATACTTTGTTCTTGCTTTGTACAAAAGTCTTAGTCAAATTTTTGAAGGATAGGAGTAAAAGTTTGTAATTGATGTTGTTGTGACCTTTTTAGAACTCTGATATTCTCCTTTTGTTTTTACTTCTTTTTTTTCGGAAAGGTTCGAGGTACACCACCCCATATGCAATGTTTTTTTTCTTCTTCATGTCGACTAGTCTCTGTCTAAAAACCCATTCTGTTGTTATTGTTTCTTTCTATTGTGTGCATAAAATAGTACATGACATAGTGGTTCCTCTATGTTTGTCAAATGACCTAATATGCTTTATAGTGGTCCTTTTTGGGTATTTAATTTTGACCCACCATTATTGATTGCATTGTCTATATTATATAGTGGTTCCTTTGTGTTACTAAATATGCAATATGTGTTATTTAATTGTACCTTAATGGCATACTGATATACATAGTGATCATGTGCTTAAATTATTGAATTGGATGTGTTATTTAATGATTGAATGATGTGGTTGTGTTGTTTTTATTAAGGTTGTCTCTGTCATTGTCTATATTGAGGTTTTATATACCCATTTGTTGTTGTAGATGGATGATATGTTTACCATTGAACTTCATCATGGGGGTATATTTGAGAAATTACCCCCTATGACATACTTAAAAGGAAATATAACTGAATTTCAAAAGATAGACCCTGACAAGATGTTATATCTTGAGGTTTAAGGGATGGCAACTGGATTGGGGAATGGGGTGATCAGTGAAGTGTTCTACAAAGTACCTTATGAGTGGCAAGAATTCAGAGAAGTGAAGTGTGATTTAGATGTGTTTAGGATGTTTTATGATCATGAAGCTCGTGGAAAAATGTCTATTGTGAAATTATGCATTGTTGCACCTTTATTGAATGGGACAGAGAATGAGGTCAACTCATATGCTGATTTAGGGTGGAATTATCTAATGAGTGATACCCAACTCATTGCTCCTGTGTCAAGTGAGTATAATCCTAATGATGAGTTGATAAGTCTATGTGGATCTGATGATAAAGGTGTTGATAGTGGTTATATGCACCAGGATTACATTCCTTTATGGGATTTGGGGGAAAAAGAATTGGAATTAGGCATGAAATTTGGGTCAGCTGCTGATTTTAGGTTGGCACTTTGGGAAAGTGCATTGAAAACACAAGTTTGATATAATGTTCATAAGGAATGATGGAGATAGGGTAACTACATTGTGCAAGGCTGAATGTGGTTGGAGGATACATACAAGCAAACCTGAAAATGAAGATTGTTTGATTATTAAGACCTATGTGCCAGAACATACTAACTGTTTATGGTTTCATACAAATGGACTGGCCTCATCAACCTTCTTAGCAAACAAATATTGTAAACAAGTGAGATTGAAACCTAAGATACCTTTGGGAACACTTAAGAGCACCATTGTATCTGAACTGAACATTGATGTGTCCACACATAAAGTGTATAGGACAAAAAGAAAGGCATTAGAAATGATTGAGAGGAATGATATTGAGCAGTATGGTAAAATGAGGGATTACTGTAGCTTGATATTGAGAACCAACCCTGCCAGTGTAGTTAATATACAAACTAAGCCCATTGCTGATGAAAGTGTTAGAAGGTTTATCAAAGAGTCTTTATTTGTTATGTTACAATGTGATCGGTTGTCAATTATACATCAATCTTTGCAATAGCACAAATTATTGTAAAATATGGCTATTAGTCGGGTAAGTCGAACCACTGGGACTGCTAGTTTATGGCAACTTAGGTGTCTAGAGTCATTTTTAGAATGATAAAGGGGGTTATAGAGGATTTGTTGGATTGTCACTAAGATTATGAATTGAAAAGTGCATAAAACATTAATGCTAAGAAGTAAAGAGGCAAAGATAATTAAAAGGGGACTAGGGAAGTGAATCCACTACCCATCAATAAGCATGCTAGGACATGATTTACTTGGGGAAATATATATATATAACCATGGAATGCAACAACATAGCATTGAAACATTATCTTCAAGAAATATATGAAAATAAGATACAAGAATAACCTATCAAAGCTTACATGTTTTGGTTACCTAAACTAGGATGCAACCTTAGACATGATCACCAAGCAATAGATTATCAAGCCCTTAGTCTCATAATAAGAGCACATGAAATAGAAATCAAGAGGAATCTATCAAAGGAAAGCCCTAAGCAATAGATTATCAAAATTCCTAAGTATCATGCCAATAAAAACACTTCCATGAACTCATCTCCATTGTCACTATGAAAATGTAGCAATATAATCATGAGAGAAAAACAATCTAAGACAAGATATTCAACTCAAAATGATCATTTATAGATAATGAGCTTCATTACATCATGTGAAGTGCTCTAATTCATGGAAAAGTTACATATATACATTATACCCCAAATATAAATCAAAACAAAGCAATGCTTACAAAATGGGGCTTCATCACCTCCCTAGATAGGGAGTTAGTTACCCATGAAGACAAAGAATGAAGGAAAAGATGAAAAATCCCTCTCCATTTTCACACCTTAAGCTCAAGAACACCCAAGACCCTCTAAACTCACTATTTCTCTCTCTAGAACTTAGCCAAATGTGAGATATCCAAAATAATGAGTTTTTCCCCTTATTATACATCAAAAC